AAAAGCGTTTATAATACAAAATTTATATAATTTAAAAAATGGAGAATTATACATTATTTTCATATTATTAAGTGCGTGAAAGATACCATAGCTATCTTTTTACGCGTTATAATCTTTTTACATTTAAAATTATCTAAAAATTGAAACTTTTATATCGTTTAATAATCATTGATATAATTATGATTTTCGCTATGCAATCGGTCATATCATGATTTCCTTCATTAATTAATTAATTTTATAAGGAATTATTTCGATTCGTGATTAACAAGATGAGGTAGAGATCACTCTACAACGATTATCCACGATAGTGCAAGACACATTAAAGAGGAATCTTGGATGAGAAGGATAATACCGGGGAAACCTGCGACTCGTGCCTCAACGATAAAGGAAAGGGTGCCGAGGATAAACACGGAAGGGTTGTCTCAGTCAATATTGAAGTTTCGTGTCCTGTTCGCGGCTCGGTCGCTTCTATCCCAGGACCTTCCAAGGCATCGCTTTTAGTACTACCACCATTCCGATCGTGAATCATGCCACAAATAACTAGTAAAATTATCGATTTTAGAGATTATATTAGTTCAACAAAGTTATTATGAAATAAAAAAGACACATGAATCGTTATTTCTCCGCTTGATCTTGTTAAAAACTTTGCTTTTTATATCTTTTATTAGAAAATTCTGTAAAAGTTTAATTGTGTGATACGTACAGTTTAAAATATATGATTTAATTTTTTAATTAAAAACAATCGAATATTCGCTATTTTTCCTCTTATAAAATAGAAATCTATCATCTATACAATTCTGACACTTATAAATAATTCTCTTTCTCTTTCTTCCTCTCCCTCTTTTCCTGGTAACTGTAAAACCAGTTGGAGAAAAACAAAGTATCAACTCTCTTTGAAATACTCCATTGTGAGCTAAGTGTCTCAATTCTACACCATTTAATCTTTACGAGGTCGTAAAAGCGTTTATTGTTCAAGATGAACGTTCCTTCCATCTTTGCAAACATTTTTATCATACTTTCAATCATTTTTGACGTAGACAACGACATTAGAAATACTATGATTGCGTTCTGTGTCCACACTTTTGGCGCTTACAGTGCTCACGAAATCATTTCATCCGTATTGTTTATCAAATGTTTAACAAGGACAATGCTCACAGTGCATGAGCGTTAAAACAGAACACAATCTATGTTTAACCCGGAAGAGAAACAAATCTTTTTTTACCGATCATGATAATGTTTACTATATAATACGGATATTCTATATTTTAATGAATCAAATTTAAATGTTTTATTATATATATTAAATAAAACACTGTTTATTGGCAAATCTTTAGATTTTCAAAAATACCGTCAGTATTAATTTCTTTCCGTTGCGATCTTGCATTTAATGACACAATGTAATTTTTAATATCACTATGTGTGATAACAAACGCGAAATCCGCGAACAGTTGCCTCCTCTCGTTCGTCCATTAATCCCTTTCCAGGAGCGTATCACATGTCGGAAATGCAATCGTGCGAGGTATTCATGTCGAAAGGGACATTAAAATCATATTCATCGTGATTGAACCGCGATGTATACGTCGTATACGAGTGAGGAAAGCATGATTCGATATGATGCTCTCAGCAGATAAATCCTATCATTTGTCTCTTTATACGATTTAACGATTATTTAATTAAATTTTTATACAATTTTATTTCTTCAACATGTCCAATATTTCTTCTTTATTCAAGACATCTACGTATAGAAGTATTAATATAATCTAGACATCTAACTTTATTTAAAAATTATCATCGGAGAATAAACATTTTTGCAATAAATTTTTGCCAGAAGATACACGAAATTTTCAGATTACAACGATTTAAATCTCCATAAATTTCAACTACTTTGCATATTCGAATTCTGCAAACGAAGGTCAAGTGTCAGTCGTAGTCGCTTACTATCTGAAACAGCCAAAGTTCGCTTTGAGTAGTTTCACCGTTGAATAGGGATATATAGACTGCTCTAATCTTGAGAATCTCCTCGCCAATAATTCCGAGAATTTCACGAATTCTCATTTAACCGAATTCGCTCTTTGCAGTAACTTTGCCAAGTCAGTTTATAATCTTGTTAAGGCATTACATTACATAATGCCAATTTTCACAAATATATTGTACCTACATATATGCAGCAGCAGCATAAATAAATTTATGAAAGCCGTAATGGAGTTGCAAAAAAAAATCTATTTATTTTGTTAACCGATTGGAAACATTGGCTGGCATAGTTTTCGATATACCGGATTTACTGAAAGCTTTATCTTTTTTTTGTATTTACGAGTCGACATGATTAAAGTTTTCCTCCGTGTTGAGTTTCACGAGACTGCAGACCAGATCGATAAAAAGAAAATTGGTCTATACAAAGATTCGTATTTCAATTTTCTCTTGATAATTGCGAAGCCATAAAGATATAATGTAGTGGCGACGGACGAAATGAGATCTTAAATTTATTATTACAACGTCTTGGCGTTTTCCATGATAACGTTATAGATTAATTAAATGCGCGCTTTGTCAAAATGTTTGGACGATTATCATTGCTCGAATTGCTGTTATATTTTAATAAATATTATTTAGTGTCATTAAGATTTACTACATCGAATGCAAAATAGTATAAATATTGTAAAGTATGAAAATATAACGCGTGTAACAAATAAATAAAAAACTGCTGAATGTTATATGATCTTTTCAAATGTGAATCAATGCAAGCCATCAAGAAGAAGCAGGACTCCGTTCAACATAGAAAATCAACGACTCCATAATATCGGGCAGACGATCGATATTCCTGTTGGAATATTGACGGCTGGGATATTTGGGCATCGAAAAGCATCCTTAGAATAGAGACGCGCTGGCGCAGTTGGTGGAGCGATTAAACGGAATTTCGATGAACGACGACCAATGGCCAGAATCATCCTCTTGTAGCGTTCTCTCTCTCTCTCTCTCTCTCTCGCCTCTTCTCTTGCTCTTCCTCTTTTTCCTCTTACTAACCGCGTTCATGCATATGGCGTCTGATCGTCTGGTGAATGCTTTCGTCCTCCATAGGCATACCGAAAGCCTCGACGGGTTACATCACCGTGGATGAAAAAGATAGAGCAGTATACATATATCATGCGTAAGTTATCATTGTATCCTATAAATGTATGAGGTTATGTCTATATACTTAAGTGAAAAACGTTAGAGTTTTGCGAATTGCAAATCTTTGCAAATCTTGCAAATCTTTGCTGATCCATGTAAAAGTTGCAAATATTACAGAAAAATATTCTGACTCTTTAAATATGCACATACTTAAAACAAAATTTAAGACCTTATCTAGAGACATTGTTGTCTCTATTATTATAAAAAATAATAAAAATTCTAAAAGATTTAGTTTCAAGGTATAAATTGCTAATATTGATTAAAGAGATAATTGCAATATATGTATATAATAGATAGTGACAATATTCAACATATCTAAATGGTCTATACTATGTAATGTATACAAGTGGCTGAATAATGACTTGATTTCGTAATTTATCCGATCATACAATCAAAAAGCCATTTATAGCTATCCACTTCTTCATTATCATATAGCTTGATATATAGAATTTCAATTATCTAATAATTTAATAAACGTTTAAATCAATTATCCACTTGACAATGAATAGTAAAACTTTATACAACCGATAATTCAATCGCGCAAGTCACCGTGATCTTTGAGCTTTTGAAAAACATGCCACTTTGTGTGTGTGTGTGTGTGTGTGTGTGTGTGTGTGTGTGTGTGTGTGTGTTGTTGTGTGTGTAGTGTGTGTGTGTGTGTGTGTGTGTGTTTGCGCGCTCCTATATGCGTGCACGCACATCGTAGGGTTTGAGGGAGAGAACGAAGTGGAGAATTCTGGATCTGTAGGATAGGTATAATTCTGTCGGTTGTCCCGGACTGACATAACTAACATTGCTCCCGACGACTGTACGTAGCATGGCTATGGACGCTTTGCGTTGGGAAAGCCATTAGCGTCCAAAGCAGTCCACCAACCGCATTCCCTGCTCCCTTTCGTGCTCTCTGCCTCCTATGTCTATCCTCGAGCAACGACGACGGCCGGCACCTTTGCATAACGAATACCGATGGTGCTCTTTCATGCGTTATTCCAGCATCTTAAAGTATGATATTTAAATATTTTGTGTACTTTCAATTTCCTGTTAGATTAAATGTAAAATTGTAATTTGTTTCAGATCTTTCATATTTTTCGGATCTTTTAATATTTTAAAAGAATTGATGAGAATTTGGATAGAATTAATAAGATGATAGAATAGATAAGTTAAATTAATATAAATTCAAAATCACAGAGATTTATAATAAAATTTATATGATAAAATGCAAACTTAATTAAGTAGATAAAAAATATATATATAGATACAATATTTCTTTTATTTAAATAAACAAAAATAACAAGTTGAAAACATTACTACTTTCTCTATTTGGTTGTGTTGATTTATCTCTTTTAAGAAATTTCCAATTTTGAAAAATTTTAATTTTCTCCCAAAATTCTATAAATACAAATCAAATGAGTTTATTATTAACTTATTTAATCTAATAAAATTCAATCTCTACAATATCACTTATATTGAATGTTAAGCGAATCACATTAATTCGAAACTCAACGCGCGCTAATATAACGACCTTACTACAGCTTATCTGGGAATTAAATCGATCCCAAGTTCATAGTTTCCGAAGATATGGCTATGATACCCACGCCGCGAGTGGAAAGATTACAATTTCGAACATGGAGTTTCTCGCTCATGGAAAGGAAACACAACGGTGGCTGGTGGTTTACCCGTTCATCCGTTTCCGGATAGTAGAGTGCAGGTTACAGAGATCGAAACGCTACTTCCACCCATCCCCAATAGACGTCATTGCACACTCTGGTATATTGTTGTCCAATACAGCCAGGCAGCCCTCCCTCATTCTGCACCTCTTGCATTTTGCAACGTCCGCACGCTCGCAGCACTTCACTGCGATGCGATTTTGTTATGTTATTTACACTGAGCCGGAAACAACGGCTTTATGAATCCGTTCATTCAGGAAAGTTCTTGGTTATTTAAAATATTGCAAAAACTTTTGAGAGAGAAATGTATCGGTAATGTTATAATCGGTAATTGACTCCCCGTTTGCCGAATGATACCTATAGATAGACTACGTACGGCCGCGCCGGTGCACTAGCTTTGGAGTAACAGTTGGAGCTGCGTCAGCGGCCGGTCCGTCGACCGTCGACGTCTCCTCAGCATACCTGGATTTACTGAGTGGCTGCCATGACTCAATCAAATCCATTCCCAGTTTATTCAATTACGAGACGAGAGTGCATCGATAACTGATATTTTCGCGTGGCTTAGTGTGCGTATGTGTATGGTTTGTATACGTCTATACGGATTTGTAGAAATTTCAGAAGTAAATATCGTGTTGGCAAATAAAAATAAATTTCATTATTATCATTGTTGCAGAGCTGAGTGACCAATTGTTATAGAAACTATTATTTCTTTAGGTAGATTTCTTCAGGACCGGAGATTGACGATAAAATCTCAATGAGTAGAGATTTCGATGTTGTAAATATGAAAATTATTTATTCACGATAATAGCAATGTAATAATTGATGTATATTAACATACATGTTTCAACATATATGTTGCATTGAAAATCAGATCTACTGAAACCAGGCCGACTTTAATTCCTGATCATGATTTAGGGTCTTTTACATGGAAAATGTTCTTTTCAATAAATTTCGTGTAATATTCGATACAGTAACGATTGCATGACCGACTGTGCAGATTCAAAATGAAAGTAATCAAAGTAGAGATATCGGTTGGCTGTTGAAATAGAGTGATGGAAGAGATTTCTTCCGCGTACGCAGCTGTATGGACGAATTAAATTGTCGATTTTTAATATTCTACGCCTCAAAATTCGTAACACAATTTCCACTCTTTGTTTTCACGCACTACCGCGCGATATGATACAGAACGGATAGTTATAAAGACTAAATTAAGCGAATATATGATTCCGCGATTTTTCTAATTTCAGCGTGTGCTTTCGCATGAAATACATTGATAGAGCGTAATGTCATTGTTTGACTTCACGTTGAATGGCCAGACAGGAAATACCGGATATACACGAGTACAATTTCGCAGTTTTGAACAATTGTTCCTCTTCTACTGTAATGCTTCCACAAACTACATCGTGAAATGATTATATTGTCGAAATTTTTCATGCACAGAACATTTAGCTTGAAAATTAAGAGAGTGCGTATTTATCCAAAGCACCAACCGCGACAAGTCGAAAATTTCTTTCGCATGCGACATGCTTTCGATACTTAAACAGGACAAATAGATTCGGTAAAGTAATAAATAATGCAAAATCGAGATTAATATCGTATCGCGTCACGTACAAGGCAAAGTTTAGACAAACTTTCGCGCGCGCGCACACACATACATAGTCGGCCATATCCGCAAATGTCGACAGATGGCGACGATCTGTGCGCCTATGTCGTTCCTTTCGTAATATATTCCATCCTTTAGCCTGTTGGACCGCATGTTGTTATAAAACACAGCGGCGACGGCTGCGTTTATCGTGAATTTTAGTTACGAGTCTGTCAAGTTTTCACCGTCCCTCCTCATATCATAATATGCATGTGGGGAACCGTGTGAACTACTTGAGTTTATGATGTATGCAGAATATCTCAACACTTGCGCAATTTCCTAGCAAATATAAATGGTGAAATCAATGCTAAGTATAATATATGTCGTTTGACAATGTCATCTCAATATTAAGAGATTATTGATAGTTATGAAGACATTTAACACAGAAAATTAAAAAATTTTTGATAAATAAAAATTTAAGAAAATTTCATATTACATTAATTCCTAATTCAATTCTGTACGGTCTTACAACCTACCAACGATAAATACAAGCTGCTTTTAAAATTGTGTAGTCATTGGCATGATTTTATGTTTCCGTGGAAACCCGATAATATTCTTTCATACAATTTGAAAAATTCGCGAGAAACCTGTGATAGCACGAAAGAAATCGATCCAGGAATAGAGATAACCGTAGAATTTTCTTTAGTGGTAGCGTATTATGTTTTCGAGTTTCCAGCATTAAACTTCAAAGACTTCTTGCCCAGTTTCTACTCCAAGTTGGCGCAATATCGTTCCTTGCCCCGGGGAAAATAAATTTTCAGACATCCGTAGGTCGACGTGGAAATTTCGTTGCGAGGAAAGATGGACACACTCACCTGATTGCATATTGATACAGGAAAGTGTTAACTGTAATTACAACCTACATATATGACACACTTTGTAACGATAAATATTTTTTCCAAAATGATACTTTTTTGACTAATATCACTGAAATATCGTTGATTAATTCAACACTACCCAAATAATTGATTATCGTTTGCATTAAAAATTTACTATACCGATCCCTATATTTATTTACACGAGCTTTTAATATAATGGAATAGATTAAAACAGATATCTACGATTCCACATCATTCATAGCTACAAGTACTCATAAAATCATGTCATGATGGATGTTTCAAGTTTATGAACGTATCTCATTTTTATCCAATGGCATTTTATATAGTTGAGTTTTTGCACTGCCATAAATTATTCGGTTCTGTTTGTAGGTATGTAACACAATCGGCGTGGCATAAAATTCGCTAAAAAAGATAATAAAGCGATTTTTTTTGCGTTAAATGCTACAACATATTGTTAGTTCTATTATTGCATTACAACATATTGATAGTTCTATTATTGCATTGCTAACTAAAAATACGTAGAGACGTAATATTTGAATTCGCACTAATTGTCAATTAATTATTGCTCGGATTCAACTTTGAACATTGTACAGTCGAAGATAATTCATTCTCATTCTAACAAATGTGCGTATATCGGTACAATGTACATAAACTACTATTCTTCGTAAACAGTGAAATTCTGTTATAATGGCATCACTGAAAATGTCGCTAAAATTTTCATTAATACGCGCGGCATATGAATATATATTACATGTTTAACATAATATTCAAAATTTAATATGAGAAATACGTATCACATACTCATAATCACATCTCACAATATATAAATTTTTAATATAATATTTAAAAACTTAGCGGAATAATTCTTTTGTACTGTGGTGAGATTTCGATTTTCTTTAACTATATGCAATATTTATTTTTCGTATGTGCAAGAAGACGTAGCAAAAGATTTCCATTCGTACAGACTTGTTGCTTATATATCAGTCAGCTTCCGAAGAATCTGGAGCCAATCCAAGATACGTAGGCAGTTGTTCATACATGTGTTTGCTATGGGACTTACGAAATGTGTACTAGTGTGTACCAGTAATACAGCCAAAATCGTATAAAAATAGGTGCATGTACATCAATATTGCGAATACAAGTAAAAAAAAATCTATATATATATTGCACATTTATCCAATTGTTTTATATATTTCTATATAATAATAGAATACTAGAATTCTATGTAATAATAGAATAGAATTTTTATGTAACAATAGAAATATATAAAACAATTGGATAAATGTGCAAAATATTTAGTAAAAATATTGTACGTTCAAAGAGCGTTTTAATATGAAATTGCCATAGCAGAAGAATCGTATCGATTAACTATAACGTAAAGCGGATTATTATCCAGCGCTATTAATTCAATATAAATGCAATTTTCTATATATCATTATCTCCCTCGCGTGCGCGTCATTAGTTTCTACATATTATTAATCATAATTGTAAATAAATATGGCTCAAACTACCTGTAAAATCAGCCTGTAAGCATGATATATCAATTACAAAATATTCTTTGTATATTTCTCTCACAGGATTTTTATTAATTGAATTTTGTCTGACGCGTGCTGTGATTTATTATCGTTCAAGTAATTTATAAATGACGATATTTTTTTTTAGTTCTCTTTAGTAATGTAGCAATATGTAAATCGCCGTTTATCTGAAAACTGTATCGCGTATTTAGCAAATTAATTAAATTTAAAAAATTATAAAATTTCTGCAGTATCGTAGCAATTATGCAATCATCCATAATCCCCATAAGTCGATAATACCTTTGCCAATGTAAAAGCTCCGCCTGTTCGATTTTGGATATCCACAGAGCTTCTACCTTCTAAACGATAACACACGCGCTATTACTCGTGTGCGTACGCAAACACAGTTTGTATTTATCGATATGTAGCAAGAGTACCTAGGAATCGCATACATCAATATAATGCCGTTATATAATTCGCTTCGATCCACCATTTCAATATTTGATTTAACTGATTACACGAGATGTTTGGGAAGATTGGAAATTTATCGCGGCTCGGGCAGAATGCAATGTTATTTTGCACGATTGAATTTTTTCTGTAGCATTTGCAAAAATAATATATTCTGTGTTATGGACGTGAAATAATTTATTAAAAACATTTTCTTTTAGTTTTACCGTTAATATTTGTTAATTAAGACGTATGATATGAACATGCATGTGACGTACACATTTAATGAAAAATACGTAAATACAGAATTATACATGACTATAATTTTCAACCCAATACATTTCCTTCTACATTTTCTCCTAAATGAATGAAATATAGAATGGTGTTTGGCTTATTTCGTTCCGTTATGACTATTATGTAAAAATTATTCATTCACTTGTAGAAAATATTCAAAATTATATAACAAAAAAATTCGCACTATGATGAACTATATATTACAAACAAGAGAAGTTAAGATTTGTCAACGTCTACCGCATAACACATTATTTCGAGTGTAGAGTGTTCACATTCGAATCAGTTTTCAAGAAATCGTTTTACAATTGTGTAGAAATTGCGACTGCACTAGTTATTATACTTTACCGATTTTAAGATTTATATAAGTTGGCAATTATTTTGAAAGGTCGTGGAGGTAGAGTATATCGACTATCGCCAATTCGATGTCGATTTTGCTGAATGGGCCGCCGTTGCAAAACGACGCGGGCAGTCGGTTTGTTGCCCCTGCAGACTGTGCTTTGCGGTTTATGCTGTCAAAGCCTTTCCCTGCAGAGAGAGCGTGCACTGTCACTATGCAGCCTCGTTTGCAGTGGTTTGATATCGTGTCGCGTCAGCCGTACCGGCTCTTTAACCGTAAAGCAAGTAGGTAGAGCTTATCTGGTGCGTCTTGGAATTACGACGGTGAGTCGCAACGAGGACAGGGAAGGTACCCATCGAGATAATTATCCACCTTAAAGTATGTTTTCATCGTGAGATGGGATTTTGAAGATGCACTCTCTCAAACGAGCGCGGGCGCGCGTCTTTGTACGGAGCGCTTCTCGTCTCGACATTAACCGAATTACGAGCAGAAAGAAAGGGCTGCGCTTCGACGCAATTGTCTGCCTTAATGGACATTTCAATTCAAGCGGAAGATTGGCGTCTGCATTGCACCATCGAGAAACACTGTAAAGTTATACGCTATATACGTAACCGTGTGTGCGTATCATGCAAATCACATGTTTCTTTTTTATTATTTTTTCAAATGTTCTCTTCTGCGATGGTAATTGCGCGTTGGCCGTAAACGACTCGCAGATACGCGACCGCGTGAAGAAACTCATCGGCGCTAACGCGCGCGCGTCCTTTGCATCATAAATGTACACGTACATTTACGACGTTGCGCGGGCGCGCGAAAGCGGCCTTTAATAAAAAGATTAATATCGTAGAATAAGAGTAAAACGCTGTCCGTGACGTGATAAAGTGCCACGCGGCTAAACAGGAAAATAGTAAAAACCGAGCGAACAGTGCACAGTGCAGCGCGGTGGGGCCCGGCTGGCTTTATCGAATCACGCCGCGCGTTTACGCGCGCGTAGTTACGAGGGGCGGCCGCATTATTTGTACCTTATCGTACGCATTACCTGCGCACGCATCTCGAATACATCGCCCGAGAGATTATAAAACTACAGGTCGCGCAGACCTGTTCGGAACAGCCCGCTGCGCGCTGTATTTTTAATTAAAGTCACCGAAGCTGTGCCTTAACGATCGATTCGTGTCGTAAATGTTGCCGTGCGGTACACGCACCTCGCCGCGTATTTCATGTTAATGTTATATACCCCGACCCTCATGCGCCTTCGCTAAAAGTCGCTCGATAGTGACTTTACAACAAAGCTAGTAATCTTCGCGTTAATAACGTGCGCATTCTTTGCACGTGAACCGTCGCGGTCGTATTCGTCGCATTTTATTACTACGATAATGGTACTTAAAAAATTCCATTTCGCGCAACAAGAATGGTTTTTCTGGCGGCAAAAGTAGTTTCTCATACAATAACTAATAATGAACAGCGCATGCTAAATTAATAATACGCATGCTAAACGCTTTAACAAAAATGAGAATAAATTTATGTTAAGAAAATCATATATAATTAAATTAATAACAAAGATGTAAATGGCATTGTCACGTATATATGTCCTATTTGTGGTAAAGCGTTTTTATCAAATATTAATTGTTTTTCTCACATTATTTTAACGTGTTACATATCGCATTGGAAAGTGCTAAATGGAAACAAACTGGCCGAAGCAGTAAATAATGCTGTCGATAACGGGTGCTCGATAATACGTGGCTATGAACGAAACGCTTCACTTCCGGGAAGATTAAATAAGAGTAAAATATGATAACGCCCTGCACATTCCGCCGATTTCAATCAGAAAAAATTTTTAACGCAACATGAATTGCAGGAGCAAAAATTGAGAAGTAAAAAATCTGAAACATTTCTGAAATCTAACTTGTAATATGCTTTAACAATGATGGCAGATATTAAATATTACCAAAGATATAGCATAACATGGCATATCGAATATTGAGCTACGCATTATAATTGTTAATGCTGTATCAA